ATATAGTAGTACAATATAGAACTAATAAGATAGTCTAATATCTATACAGTAAATTATTTAAAATAGATAATAACTAAAGTTATATATGTAACTTGTTGTATATTCTTTATATAATTATTAATAGTAGAGATTATCAATATCAGTTATATAATGTAGATCAATTTTACCAAAATTTGAGCTAAAGACTAGCTTATAGAAAACTTATTAAATAGCTTATGAAATATAGTAAAGCCTACTAAGATAAAAAATTCAGAACTAGAAGTTATAGCTAAATGAGTCACAAAAATAATTAAAGAAAAGTAAAAGAAAAAAGAAAACCTAGAAAACTTCTCTTTGCAAAATAATTTTCAAATTTTGAAAAATTTTAAGGAACAACAAAAATTCTGAAAATTCTATAATTGTTTGTTATATAAGAATCAGAACGTGAATAGACCAATTAGAAAAGCAATATATATAAGAAGAATTATGTATTAAATCAGAATAAACAAAGTAGAACAACAAAGATAATATATGTCATATACATAGATAGTAAATAAGATGATATATACTATAGTAAAACTAAACAACTTCTGGGGTTTACAAAACAATGTACTAAGAAATTTGAAAAAGTTAAAGAGTAGAGTAAAATAAATAGATTAGATAAAGAATACACATAAAAGAAAATATATAAAAAAGAGAAAAAGTGACTAGATTAGTAAGAATAGTAACTGAAGAATATAATAATGAGATAATAGCAGAAAAAAGTATAGCAGTAATAGGTTTAGAGAATCATATAGATAAAATGATCACAGAAATATTAGAAGTAGACAGCAATATAGTAACAGTAGCTAGAAAATAGAGAAAAGTAATAGAGAGAGTAGCAATAACAGAAGGAATCGATAAAGTTAAAACTGTATTAGAACAAGTTGTAATAGCAGAAAAGAAAAACTAATAATTCAAGAAAGTGAAAACAAAACAAATATAAAAATACTAGATCCAATTGACTTGTCAAGAACAGATAGCAGAATAACAGAGGTAGAAGTAATTTCAGAAGAAGACTACTCACTAGCAATAGAAAGATCATATCTAAATAGAAGACATTAAAGAAATCTAAGAAACGGAAGCAACTACAACAAACTATAACTAATATCCTGATATTATAGAAGAATCAAAAGAAGAATTTACTTTTGTAGAATCTGATTCTTCTCTAGAAAGAAGTATTTGAGTATCAAGCAAAGACAGATATAAAGAAAAAAAAAATATAAGTGTTAAGGTAGTAGCTATTAAAGTTCTTAGAGATAATGCAATTCATAGAGAAAAACTATTAAGGTGGTCAATTAGAAGAAATACATATCTTAAAAAGATATCTGAAAGGTTTAAACAAGGCAATCTTTAGTATATCCTTATATTTAACTACTTAAAAGGCTACAAAGAAGCAAAAAAGAAACTAAAAAGTAAAAAAAAAGAATATGAGCAGGCTAAACTAATCTTCGAAGAAAATATTGAAAAAGATAAGAATAATTACATTTTAGTAAATAACAAAGCAGAAATATTAAAACAAAAAATTAAAGAGAAGAGAAATAAATAAGCAAATACAAAATTAGAAGAGGTTCTAATAAGAAGAAAGAAGAAGGATATAATTAAAAATAAAAATAAGATAACAGTCTGGAATCTACTGAGTTGAGTAAAAATAATGCAAGTCTTTGAGATAGTCTAATTTTTGGAAAAAGTAGAGAACATAGAAATAATTAAGAGTATATATAATAAAATAGGAGCAAAAGTTAACTTCAAAATAGACACAGTTGATAAAAGGAAATTGAACAAGATTTGGTGTTTACCTTTTATAAACTAAGTACTGGTAAAAATAATAGCAGGTACTAACAATTATGAATTATTTCATTTGAAAAACAGATTGAGCAAAAGACTACTTGACCTATCTGAAAATACAAACAAGATACTACTATGAAGACAAGTTAAAAAATCAGGAGCTAGAATATTGCATATCTTTAAAAACTTTAATAACAACAATATGAGAAGTGTAATAGTATATTTTAATAAACAAGAAGATATGTTCAATATTTCTAGTTTTTAATATACTACTATAATAACAAACTAAAATAAACAGAGATGAAAGAACAAGAAGATAAAGTATCCAAAAACTTAAGATTTAGAGAATATAAGAAAAATGAAATATATTAAAAAAGAAGTACAAAAAGTTTAAAGAAAAGAAAAGAAACTGAACAAGAAGGTGAATGTTCAAAATTTATATGAGACAGAGTATAGAGAGAAAATAATTTTCAGCAAGAGATAAAAAGTAGTATAGCAAATAGATTGTATAGAGATAGTCAAAATATATATAGAAACCTACAAGTAGTATCTAGTAATAGTAATAGAAAAAAATACAAAATAGAAAAAGAAAATAGCTTTTAAAAAGGATGTAAAGATAACAAAAGAGAAAAATCGAATATGTAAAGCTATTATAGAAATAGAAACAATAACATGTCTCTGGAATATATAGCTCTCTTAGTACAAAATTTAGAAGAAAAAGTTAGTGACTTGAATATAAAAAATCTAAATCACTTCTAACTTATATACTAGTTAAATCGAAAAGAGCCTTAATTATACAAGAAGGAAAACTTATACAACAAAACAAGGCAAAGCAAAATATAAACCAAATTAGAGTAATTGCTAGAACAAAAGATAGAAGTGCAACAAAAGCTAAAAAAAGTATTGAATAGTAATATACAATATTAATAGTTTGAAAGGCAATAGATATAAGTTAGAAATACTGATAGATAAACTTAGAAAAGAAGAATATGATATAATAGAAGTAATAAAAACAAATATTACAGAAAAAAAGATCAATATATAACTAGATATTAAGAAAGTATAGATAGTTTTTGAACTAATACTGAGGAAGGTAAAAGCAAAGGCTTAGAAATAGGTATAATAGTAAGCAAAAAGTGGTCTAAGTATATAGAACAAATTAGAAAATATAGTAGCTATCTACTAGAGATATATTTTTTCTTCAAATAACTAGAACTAGTAGTTTTTATAGTATATATAATACTAAATAGCTTATCAAGAAGAAATGAAGTACAAAGAATAATAATGAAAGAAATAGTACAGAGAAAACCAAATATATACTTTATAATAATAAGTAATTTTAACTATATCATATAACTAAGTATTGATAAAAGTAATAACACAAATAGTAATTTCAAAAAACTACTCTTACATAGTTAGATAGTAAACAGAGCTTTATTAATACCTTTAGAGATCTGTACTCTAACAAAAAGGAATTTTTATAAAGCAATGAAAAAGATAGTACAAAAATAGCTAAATTTGGATCTCAGAAAGTCTAATTTTTAGACTTAAAAATGCTCTAATCAAAGAAATAAGCTTGGATACAAGTAGTAATTACAAACTAGTAGTAGCAAAAATATTACTAGATTATTTAGATTTTAAAGATAGTTTAGTACAAATTAAAAGAAAAAATATGAAAAGAACAATTTTCTTATATAATAAAGCAACAAAAGAAAATTAGAATAATTACAAAAACAAGCTACAACAATTACTTAAAAAAAAGCTAAATAAGAAGTTATAGTTAGATAAATATTCTAAAATAAATAGTGAAGAATCTATAGATAATATAGATTTAAATAAGGAATAAGATATTATAAGTAATTGTATTAAACAAGTAGCAAAGAATAAGATCCCTCACAAGAAAGTGCTAAACTTAAGTTGCAATAAAGCTTTAAAGAAAATTCACTCAGAATTGCAAATTGCAATAAATTTAATAAGTAAACTAGTCAAAGAATGCAAAAAGAAATTAAAAAACAGAATTAAATATAGTAATACTAGGAACTCTGTAGAGCAAGTAGCTACAAAAAGAGCTCACAAGATAGTAATCAATACTCAAAAGCAAACTAGTAGCAGAGAACAGTATTGCAAATAAACTAGAGATAAGAGACTATATAGATCACAGATATGAAATGATAAGGGATAACTAGAGAAGAATAATTAATAGTCTGCTAGAAAAATCTTTCAAAAAAGTAGTAATTAACAAATTACTCTCAGATGAAAAAAAAGAATTAAAGAACTTTTTAACAAACTAAAAGAAGTCTTAAAAAGAACAGCTAATCACTTCAAAAAATAGTTTAAAAAAAGAAACTTTTAACAAGAAGAATTCTCATTCAGCTGGAAAGAAATATATAAACCAATAATGAGAATTAATAAAAGCTACTATAAGAATTTGAAGAGTAGAATAATAGAAGAAGAATAGTTCTTAATGCTACAAAAGCTCAAAATAAGTATAGCACTAGCTTTATCAGAAATTATATATATCCTGATTAAACAAGCGAGTACAGAAACACAAGTAGCCTTTAAAAATTTTGCTAGTCAATATCTAAAAGTAGGAAGAATCTTACTCAAATAGAAGATTGAACAGTTTACTTAATACCTAAAGATATAAACTAGTTATCATAAACAAAATTATCATAACTCTTTCTAACGATCATTTTTTCTAAAATTTTAAAAAAGCAAAAAACAAAAATTTATTATAAAAAGATGAAGAAGTTTTTTTTACAATACAACAGTTTTTATAGAGGTCAACTGCTTACTCTTAAGGACTCTTCTGTATATTTAATATATAAGCTAAAAGTGATATTATACAAGATAACTAACAGGAAGAGAGAGCCCTTGTATAAAAATTTTAGTAAAGATACGCAAAGTTGTTCTTTGTTAATGAAGTTGGTAAAAGAAAACTTAAGAAAAAGATAATAAATTATTTTGTCTATACATTCTTTTAGACTCTAGAAAACAATAATATATCACAAGTTTTTTCCTCCTAGTCTTCTATTTTTTTCAACGAAAGAGGAAATTTAGGTTCCTCCCTACAAAAGATCAGCATTGTTTACTTCTACAATTTTTAAAATTACTCTGTAGATATCAGTTATACGATTTGTCACATGTAAAAATTTTAATATAGCGTAGATTAATTTTAAAAAATAAAAAATTACATTTTTGAATTTTTTCGTCTAAAGTCTTAGTCAAAATATTCGAAGTGTTTCTAAGTAAAATTGTTGCCCAGGTCTTTAAGAACAAAACAATATAAAGAACATAGAAAAATATTTTCTTCTTATGTAACTACGATACCCTCAAAACCAGCATCCATTTTGTCTACTATTTCTTGATTATTCTTCAGTTCGCAGTTTTTTGCCTTTAAAAGTGTTTCACTAGGTGCGCCTCGACGAGAGCTTTAAAAGTTGTCTAAGCTTAAAAGGTTAGTACATTATTAGCATGGCGAAGAAAAAAATAAAAAACCATTTTGCACCACGTAGTTCGTTGATTTTCTAACTCAACCTTAAGATCGTTCGAATTAAAACTTAGATCCCTCTTCTCATTCGACTGCCCCCAAATACTTGGAAAACAGAAATAGGCCCATATGCTTGTCGTAATAAGGTACTCGCTTAAAACTCCCACCCTGATTCAAACCCAGAGTGTTGATTTTAACTAACTATTAACTTTTGAGAAACTTAATTAAAGTCTCTGGACGAAACTTTAACAGTGTTTGAAATGAAAGTTGGTTCGTCATAATAGACTTTTTACTCCAAATCATTTTATTTGTTCGTTTCAATTTCTCCCTCCCCCTCCTGAAGTTCTAAAAGTGATGTTAACCGAAGATT